GGAAAGAGTAACAGAAAAGATGTAGATACTTCGGAGATTGTCAGGTTGTGTGCCAGATGCAGTATGCTGTGACATTTATTGATCCTGCGCTTTTTAAATTTATTTTAAAAAAAAAAAAAGTTGATAAGAGTTTTTCACAAACTTCTAGCTACACAGAGGAAGGAAGCAGAACTCCTAGGCTTTATATGTAGTTTGGCAGAAATCGGAAGTGGGCCTGGAGTTTCTAACTTTGAAAATGATGGCAGATGTTCTTAACATAATAGGCATGTGTTGATCTCTCCCTGTGATTTTAGGTAAATCGGTGATGCTGTATGCTGCAGAAACCATTCCCAAACTGAAAACAAGAACCCAAAAGATGGGAGGTAGTGATCAAAGTCTTCAGCAAGGGGAAGGAGGCAAGAAAGGTAAAGGGAAGAAAAAGAAATGAGCTCGCATCTGGAATAATTGTTACATCATACAGTTGTACTTATGACAAATATGGATGGACGCATTACTTGCTGCAACTTTGAAGTGAAAGACACAAGAAATAAACAGGTGGAACTGAATAGAACTGCCTGCTTTTCTCGGAACTGAACTGGAATGCATGTAGCTGCCTCGCATCTGTGTAACAACAAATCTGTCTTCACACACAACCTGCAAGTCAGAAGCTAGCATCTGCTTTTAAAAGTGGAAGAATATAAACAAATGGGGTGGGTGGGAGAATTACTCTTTCTGGAAGAAATATGCAGCTTTTGAATAAATAAGTACATGAATATTCTTATGCAGACTAGATATCTGAAAACTGGTTGCCTTAGTAAACCATCTATCTATGCTAGTGAAGTGATTGTCTTAATTCTGGAGAGTCTTGATCACTAACAGAAAAATGTACATCAGTGAAGTTATGGCTCTGTAAACTTCTCTTGTTAATAATTTCTCACAACTGTCAAGTGTACTAATAAAAGCAACATGTTAATTTAAAAAAAAAAAAGTGATTTTTATAGAATACTTTTTCCAAAAGTGTTAACTTTTCCTCCACAGCCTGCTGTAAAGAGGTCAGTGACATATATTGTAAGGATAATATTGTTAAGTTTCAAGACAATTTGAAAAAAAAAAAATAGCTCCCTTTTGTGTCTTGTATAATATGGGATACTATATTATCCTATTTTAGGTTGTTGTCTGAGAGCTCAGGAAACATAGCTTTATTTTCTACCTGTCAAATACTATTTCAGATGTTTGAGGCTTGCAATATCTGGCAACTTAAAAGATTGGGTTTTTTTCTATGTTGTCCACAGGCAGGGGCAGAAAGTTACTTGGAGAAGATGAGTTGGTCGGAATAGCTGTCCGGTAGCAAGGCTCCTTCGAAGTAATTAAGAAATGTACTCTGCAAGTTTAATGAGGAATAGTTTATTATAGGAGACTGAAAAAGAAGCAGCAGTACCTGTTCTGAGTTTAAAAAGAAAGTCCTGCCTGAGTTTTCTAATCCTTACTATATGAAAACAGGGTCAGTTGAATGCTTTCACAGATGACTACTAGAAGCAAGTTATCAGGTTATTTTTGATGGATGTTTCATGTGGCAATATTCTCTCTTAGGGCTTATCTTGTTTATCTGTTGGGTATGCAATTCTGTGGCATCACTTTTTTCCCATTTTAAAGATAAACAGCATTCAAAATGCATCTAGGCATTTAACGACTGTTCTAAAGTCATGAAACTTGGTAAAGTTCCTGATGATACCCCTGCTCAAGTTACTTGTGCTTGTAGTGTGAGTTTTCCTGTGTTCTTTTGTATTTCTTGTTCCACTCGACTGCATCTTCTTGAAAAAGATGGTGAGTTACCAGCACCCCCCGAATGCATGCCGATGGGTACCAATAGTGCAACTGCATGGAGCCCCAGTCTTGCAAGTAGTTGGTAGTCAATCAGTTGTATTTCCTGTCTGCAGCGCTTTGTCAGTGTGGTTCTTCTGTTGCAGTGTTCAGCGAAGTAGGAGGATGCGTTCTCGTTCTCACTGCAGTTGTACCAAATCCGAAAGCTGCTGTGACAAAGTTCCTAGGGTCAAGCCCCCTACCAGCATGGGAGCAGCAGGATGTGGGGTCTCTTTAAAATAAAATGGCTTTGGAGAAGAAATCCTGTGTTCTCAGGCTGTAATCAACCCTGGTCATACACAAATGTCTTCAGGGTTTTTTTCTGCTGGTGTAACAGTTTACACAAGCTACTTTTGGAGGATCCAGCCTTGAAAACACACCTAAATTTTGAGAATTTTTGTTAGATGGTATCTCTGCGAGTTGATAGAATGGCATGGGGTAGGAACAGCGGGAATGGGCGCTGTCTGAAAGTTGGTTTTGTTACAGAAAACAACTGGCCGTGGTCAGAGGTTGTTAGTTACGTCCACTCTTGCAGAGTTAGGGAAGTGCCGCAGGGTAGGTGCAACATGGGAGAAAATACCAAGTGTGGTATGCAAGCAAGAGTGGAAGAGGCACTTGCGATATAAAAGACCATAACTGCCCACGGATTGTGGGGCTCAAGTTATTCGTGGCTTTTCCTGAGTAACTTTTCTCAAACTTGATTTAAAGTGAGAGCTCTGCGAAAATTCATTGGTACGAGATAGCTCAGCTCCATGGCGTTAAGCGGAGGGGAATGACTCTGCCAAGTCACGATCGTGTTAACGCCCGAGTGCTGTAAGTCAGTGCTTTAGACCACAGATGGCTGAAAAATGTGGAGGTTAAGTCTCATGGGATATTCGTTCATAGTGGCCAGAAGTTAAATATCTTGAAAACCTGTATGTATGTTAAGAAAGAATCTTACTGGCATTGCTTACCAAAATTTCCCAATCAAAGAACCCAAAATAGTGAAGCTATTTTAGTGTAATGGTCTTATAAAAAAAGACTGAGAAAAAGATTTTTGGAAAGAGAATATTGAGCTCAAATGTATAAAACTGCTTTCATCAAATTAACAAAGGAAGCTCTAGGGTATTTTGGGTAAAGCTGACTTTTTTAAGCAAATTGTGCACTTCTAGGAACTCAAGGTGATTGCTACCGTTGGGGAGTTGAAGTTTGGTTCCCTCAACCCTGCCTGCTTACCCATCCATCTCTGAGGTCAGTGTCTTGCTTTTTTTAATTTGTCTGGCTTTACAGTAAGTACAGTATGTGAGCAGTACTTATTCCTAAATTGTTAAGTTCAACACAGTGAAAGTTAAACACAACCCCCTCTTTCCTGCCAGGGTTAAGCTTACAAACCTGACTTGCATTTCTGTATTTCCTGCTCTAAAAACTGTGTTCCTTAGAGGCTTAAAAACAAGTGGGTCAAGACAGTAAGTTGGGTTCTTCCGAAGGTCTTTTCCTCCTTCTTCAGCACCCTCCCCTCTCCCCCTTCAACCCCTTGCTTCCGGGGATGGGGAAGATGGTTGGAGGCCACTGTGGGACTGGGAAAGGAGAGAAGGCTGCTGTAAAAATACACGAGTACTGCAGGCATTGGTCTCAATGCTATCAATAAAAACCACCTTTTTTTGAGGGGGGAAAATGGGTGATAATGGATGTCTTCTCATTTCACCTGTCTCGCTTTTACAGTTTTCTGTGACAGTTCGCCTAAGCAGTAGTTAATAAAGACACCGTGGTCTGTGGTTTCCTGTAGGTGGCAACATGAGCAAAGACGTGCATCGCCGAGTAGGAAGTTACTCTGCATGTAAGACGTGAGGAATGCTGGGACTGAGGCAGTGTGCTGCCGGAAGACGCTAGTCTAGCTAATTAAAAGTTTGTACTTGCTATTTTTCTATACTGATTTTTGGGTACCTAGACAAAGGTGAAGCATTTGAAATGGACACATGCGCTCAGAATCCTTGTAACAATCCTTGTAATGATTTCTGTGTCCGCAATGGGTGGGACCATTCACACTGGGCATTAAGCAGATCTGAAGGCACAGGCAAATGACAAAGGAATGACTAAAAATGAAAGTTCAGTACTGTTGTGTGGTAGATGATGTATTCTTTCAGATGTATGGATGGGAGCACGTAGCTGCTGTTGCAGAGTAACGCAATTATTCAGTTCTTAATGTAAAGAAAGTGAGTTTCAAAAGGTTGAAATGTGTTTTAACTTGGGAAGTGACAATAATGTGTGACCATGTGTGGTTCTCCACCTTCAGCAATGAGGTACATTTCTCAAAGGCCAGGTCTGTGGAAAATAGCTGTTCTTAAAAAAACTTGCCTGTGTGCATATACTGTTCCTTGCATGTGCTTCACAGTTAGAGCCTTTTGGGGCAGCATATACGTCTGGTATGTTCCTACGTGAGGTACTGAGAGTGTGAAAGATGTTGTGGCTCCCTTGTTTCCCTCTCTCTCTGTAGCTGCAGGTGTAGCTGCATTGGAATGGAATAGAGTGGCATAGCATGGCATAGAGTACAGCAGTTGGAAGGGAACTGCACCAACCATCCAACCCCTTCAGGGCTGACCAAAAGTTAAAGCACGTTATGAAGGGCATTGTCCAAATGCCTCTTATGCACTGACAGGCTTGGGGCATCAGCCACCTCTCTAGGAAGCCTGTTCCAGTGTTCCCTCTCGGTAAAGAAAGGCTTCCTGCGTCCGGTCTGAACCTCCCCTGCTGCAGCTTTGAGCCATTCCCAGGCGTCCTGACACTGGATCCCAGTTATTTAGCTTCTTCCTGTTACAGACTGGCCTTTATGGGGTTAGTTTACCTCTTGGGATACAAATAACCTCACTTTTCATAGAGGTTTTTTTTCTTTTTTTTTTTCTTTTTTTTTTTTTCTTTTTACCCTGAAGAAAAAAGACTTAATACAAATAGTCCCTTCATCTATTGCTTTATGATGTCAGAGCCTGTCGAGTCATTTGGTTGACATGATAAAAAGGGTAGAGGGCTCAAAGATAGTTAAGTTCCTGTAAGCGATGAAGCTGAGTGGTTGAATTGGGAGATAAGACTATGGTAATGCAGCAGCCAGTGAAGAAGCTGCCTATGTCCCAGATGGGACAAGGAAAAGCAAGGAGAATGAGTGTTTATCGTTTTTGGTTGGCAATTTGCTCCCACCAAACTGCATTTAATATGCTGGGTGTTGAATCAGCACACGTGCAGCTGCGTGTTAGAGCTAGTAAAATAGCTACCAAATGAGCTGCCTTTTGCTAAAGGCCCTGAAAAGGTGGGAAAATTGAATATACTGCCGTGGCAGGGGTAAGGGAGATGGGGGGAGCCCACCCCCATTGGTAGTATGGGACCTGGGAGAGAGCGGGGGGCGCTCCAGGACAGAAGGGACTAGCCTGCGCTGTAGTGCTGTTTCTTATGAAACACTATGTGTCTTTTTTCTTTTTTTTTTTTTTTTTTTTTTTTTTTTTTCTTTCTCTTATCAAGGTTTGAGGTTTTGCAGGGGGGTAGTTGGGGGTTTTGTTGGGTTTTTTGTTTTCTTTTTTTCCCCCAGCCAGCAGAAGTTAGACGTGTCTAATTGAAGGCTTTAAGAATTCTCCTCCCGCAAGGATGCAATAATAAAAAATGGTAGGTGTATAAAGTGTTACTTGCTTTGTGGCATTCCACGGCCTCGGCAAAGGCGTCAGCTACATGTCCTTCCAAAAGACGCCAAATTCAGAGAAGTTAAATCTTTAATTATTTTTACTTTACTAGTTCATGCGGTCATCTGAGGATCTTTTTTCACCAGGGTATCTTAGTTTTTATGTACCAGTAGGAAACCTATTCTTCAGAAAGTTATGTCAGCGTGGTTGTACAACCAAGGACTCCCTCACCAGGCCTAGGCTGTTGCTTCTCCAGTACCGTTTCAGTCCATCACACTGGATGTAGACATGCTCTGGAAAGACAAGACTGATGTTCCCTGTATTTGCATGGCTGCCGAACATGTGGTTTACAGGAAACGCCGACGGTTTGTCATGACCTACAACAAATCGTGATTTCTTTTTTTTTTAAATTCTGTTCTTCCTCCTTTGCATAAGGAAGTTATTGCTGGTTGAGTGTGAAACGGGGGTGGGAGGTGACTATGGAAGTAGTCATGTAACAGTTTTGTGTTGATTCTCAGGCTATTTAAACAGTTGCCAAGACTGGAATGCAAACTCAAGGCACTTTCTTAAATTTATCAAATTAAACGAAGTTGTGAGGGTTTCACCTGACAAATATTAGTCACATCTCCCACGACTTGCAAGAATTTTTTATTCTTTGTTAACTCTCTTGCTTTGAAGAATTTGGCTTCATTTTTGTATCACTAGTGGTAATGTTATTATTGTGGGTTTGGGGGGGGGGGTTTAAAATGTTTTTCTCAACTTTTTTTTCCCTTTTTGCTGAATTTGGAAACATGTAGGATAAAGCAGAAGGAATGTCCTGCTGACAGCGGTAGCAGAAAGAATGGTAAGTGTGACCCCCGCTGCACCTGCCAGTAGTTATGCAGGATTATTTATTTAGGTCACTTACAGAACACTAGAAAATGCATGGGCGAGGAAAAAACTTTGACACCCCTGTGGTTTATCATCTTCCCTCTGTATGTTCCTAAAGAGCACTAAACCTCGACAGTTCCTTAGGTAAGCAGGGCTATGATGCCTGGACAGCTGAGCTGCACTGCGTAGGCAGCCGCTCGCGCGCTCGCTGCCGAGCACAGATCTGTATTGCACCCCCCTGGCTAAGGCCTGATGCGCTACTGCAGCTCGGTTGCACCCCGAGATCCAGCCAGGAAGCAGAAGTACGTCCCTCAGGCTTTTAGAAAGGTTTCTACTAGTTCCACAGTAATGAAGTTTGGGTAAAAAAAAACAGTGAATATCCTGTAAAAACCTTCTGCCTTCTTAAAGTAATCGCACTTTCAGTGTTGTATAGGGTACTTAAGAAACACAGAGGCATCACACCAGTCCTGTAAGAATCTCTTTTTATTTGAATCTGGTTTTATTTCGCACATTACAACTTCAGCACAGACACAGAGTAGATGCGTGTAACATTTGCACACAGATGTGGTGAAGAAGACTTTACCCAGTGGAGTCACTTGCAGGAAAAGACAACTTGCTGCAGAAATTCAGTCACTTCTACGTTCATCAAGGCAAACGGCAAGATCAAGCTCTGTTAACAAACAGATGGTAGTTCCAGGTCTAGTAGAAACCTGACTAACAGAGCACTGAATTTAGCTGCTGGTCAATAAACACCAAGTTGTAAAGACAAGAAGTTGATTTAAAGCCTAGCTGTTAAGTTCCAAGAGAGATAGAAGGGAGTGTTTTCACACTCACCTAGAAAATCTTTTATCCCCATTAATAACAGTGGAAGAACTGTGGAGTAGAATGAGAAATTAAAAATAAGTTCTGCCTCTACTACAGACCTCATTAGGCTTGGGAAGTCTGAGATTTATCAGCAGCCTTGAGAGAAGTAACTTACGCAGTACATTGTACCTAAATCAAACAGACTACTAAGTATCTTTATTTATTTATTACTTGCTCTTCCAAGCGGTGAAGCAAAATTATACTGGCTGCATGCCTGCCATATACACGGCTGACAGTGTTTAGAGCATGGCGCTAGGATGCAGCACGGCTTACAGCAAAGTTCAGCGGGTGCAAGACAGAGGAAGGCAGGACAAGAACTTAAACTGTGTGAGTGGTGAGTCACCTCACACTTTTTCATCGCTTACACCTGCAACTTTGCTGTAAACTTTATCCCCTTCAGCTCACCCACTCAAAAGTTGCCACGGAATGATTAGCTGTGGTATTTTACACCCTGTCCTCCGAACCACAAACTGCATGTGCCCGACAGAAACCAACATGCAGTGGGTCTCACGCTTCCCTACCCAAGTTACCAGCCCTAAGGGCCGTGGTGTTTTCCAGCTTAAAATGCTTTTGCTTAGGACACTTTTACATCTCTTCTTACAATACATCGCTCTCAAAACAGACCTGCTGAGTTGCACTGTGTGCTTCCTTCTTTTGCAGTTCTTGCGTCTGAAAATTTACAATGAATGGTTTATATACCAACTTGTTGCGGAAAGCCAAAGGCCTTCAGAAGTCTATTTTAAGATCAAATCTTTTCTGCTCCACATTCTTCAATTCAAATCACTTTTTTTTGTATCAAAAGCTTAAGCTTACCCTCCGCGCGTTCTGCAAGTTAAGAACTGTCATAGCATTACTGTGGGCTTTAAAGAAACGTCAGCGCGGTGAGAAAGGGGAGATTTCAGTAATTCATGCTGAATTTGCTGAAAATACTGTGGTGTGAAAAATTAAATAGACATTCAGATCTTAAAAAAAAAAAAATATATATATTCTTTTCACTGGTTGCAAAAAAGCCTTTATGCTCTTAATGACTTTGGCTGCATTCTTACAGATTGGTCAGGAATAGATCAGGTAACGACAACAGCATCTCTATTTGGAAGTTTCAGTGCTTGTGCAGAGCTGTTCCTAGCAGTCAGAAGAGATGCGGATTTCTATGAGCAGAAAAAGCTCATGGGAGGTTGTGGTCCACCCCATGAATGATGTAGTTCTAGGGACTGACACCCAAGGCAGTAAGCACTGCAACAGGACTTTAGGAAGAAGTGTTTGTAATGGTTGCAATTGCCACTCCTTAGCGAAAGGTGGTTTGTGCTTTTGCGTGTGATCTTAAAAGGCACGCGACTAACAACTCTAGATGACAACTTTATTTAGCAAGAAGAGGCAACTTGCTGTACTTCAGTGATCTTGTGCTAATCTTGTGCAATTTAACGCATCCGTTTCTGGCAAGTTACTTCAAGCTAGTATAAGCTTGATCACTTGAACGAAGTTACTCTTTCCTGTATTTAGTATCTATTACGAATACACACACTGTACCAAATACTGTGATGCAATGACACATGCAACAGTGAATGATCTCTACCATCAGGTACCTGGAACATGTAATTTCATCATCTACAACTTTACTAGTGGGGAATACATCCGTTATGCCGCCTCTCACAGTAATTCCCTGTACATTCAAGAAGATCTGTTCAGACTAGTATTTTCCTTACACAATCGCTTCATGTTACCAGACGCACCACAGCCAAAGCATTAAGAGTAATTACATATACAATGAGACAACTAAAGTGCAGAGCCTATGGGATATATGCTTTTTATTTATGTTACTGCAGAAAGAGATTACTGAAAGACTTCTTCTGCATGAAGATGAATAAAATATTTTCATTAAGCTTCAGATGCTGCCCACTGCATTGCTTTTAAATAAAAATGTGACTTTCTATACAGACACATCAAAGTAGTAAGCAAACTTGCAACACATTCCTTTAGTATATCAAAATGTTTCCAAGGCAGTATTATTAAAATTATACCACAGTTCCCAGTAACATCAAGCTTCATAAAGGAGGTGGTAGGGAAACTTTATCCAGTTAACAGTTTAAGTGCTCTTCTTTTCTTCACCCAGTAGGTTCACTGTTGCTTTCTTGGCTGCAGTAAAATAAAAGCAAGTTTAATCTTACAGCCCTACAGACTAGGTGGCTTATTCAATTGTTCTTGAGCTGCATAAAAAAAAATAAATTTTCCTTTTAGGTCACAAAAGAAACATCACAAAAGGAAATCATAGCTTTTGTACACACACATATAGCGATATACCTGATCATATGAAGATTTAAAAAAAATAAACCGTAAGAGAGGAGCAGCAAAATAAACAGCACAGACCGACTTACAACTATGAAGCTGTTCAAAGTGTTTAGGACATAGAGGTTTACAGCAAGAAATCTACTACCAAGCTGATGAAACAGGGCTGGAATAACGCTAATGTGTGCCCATGTGTGTACATGCATATGTGGTGCATGATTTCTTAAAAAATATATGTATGTGGAAATTTTTGTATGTAAAAATAGGAAAAAGAAAGAGTAAGTGATGGAATAAGGATAGAAAAATCCCATATGCAACTTGGAAGAACGTTATTTAAGATACCTGTCTAACAATAATGATTCAGGAAGGGTCATGCAGCAAAATTTCCCAGCGTAGTTGAGAAAGGCAGATCACTTAAATACTGACAGGAAAACTGCTTAAGTTGGTTAAAGGAAATGAGACTCCGTGCATTGCTTGAGGGAAAGGAGACTTTGAAATATAAGTAAATTTCCTTTCAAAGGAAATTTAAATAAACCTTTATTTTAGCTACTTAATAGATTTCCTTCTCTTATTCATAAAACTATCATCAAGCATTTTAGAGTACGGGAGTCCACTGTAGAATGCAAGGAAATAAAAGCAAAAATTAAGCAATCTACAGGCTGTAATAAAATTTATTCTAACCAAATAAAAACCCAACTAGTTTCTTTAAGGGTGGGCTTGGAATCATTTGATCTCCAGTGGAAGGAAAAGTACAAATACTTATAGACGGGAAAACTTCATTTCACATGGTGCTGTTTACTGGAGTTAAAGGATTTGCTTTACTACAGAATTGGCAGCCCTTCTATACTACCAGGTATTTGAAATGGTATTTTAGGAGATACAAGAATACACTGAAAAAGTAACTATTTATGGAATGTGTCTTGTGAGGATGTTTGGACCTGTCCCTGGAGAGAGTGTTTATAGCGATACGTACGGTGGAAAGACACACAAACTAATCAGCCATTTCTTCCACTCACAGCTTGCACTCATTCTAGCATAACTGCACTCCTAGAAAGTAAGATCCACTGCAATCCTCTCTTCCTGGCGTCTTCACCCAAATTGAACTTCTCCGCTGTAATTTACGTAGTCCTCTTACAATTCTCCCCTCCCTCCCCAAAATGACATTAACTGTAATTATTAGAGTTGCCCAGGGGAATTCCTCCTACTTGATGTGACTAGTGAATGGTCTTTTCCTCACCTTCTTTAGTGATGGTGTCGGCAGTCTCTGCAGCCTTGTCTTTCAGGTCTTTTACAACACTGTCGAGCTGAGCTTCATGCTTCAGGAAGAAAGGCTTGATAATTCGACGATAGAGAAATTCTGCCCCATTAGAGGGACTTGGAGCCATACACCACAACAGGAAGCCACACTACAAGGAACATGAACATCTGCATAAGTAGAAGAAATGGGTAGGAGACAAGGTCTAGCATGCCTTCCTAACACTGCCACAGACCTGAGCATATTTAAAACAGTACATCATCCCCTTTGTTTTGTACGGTTACAGTCCAGTAAGTATGTGCATCAGTGTTGTTACAGACAGTGAATCTTCATATTGGGATAATTTCATGGATACTGATAGGATAAAGGAGGAGGGCTCTAGCAATACATCTAACCTGGTAACAGACATATCAAGATTGTGTTTACTTCCATTTTTATTAAAGGTAAAAGTATAAATCCCAGTTAGGCAAAACATTAGTCTTTCTGGCACAGGCCTGACTGAAGGGGTAATATTTCTGCATCTTACAAAGGGGATTGGAAAGACAGCTATTACATGTATTACAAATATCTGCCTTTACTACTGAAGCACCTTTATTTGGCTTCAGTTCCACCGTCATACACAATCCGAAGATAGCTATACAAAACAAGATCAAAACATTTAAGGGACGTGAGGTGGCATAACTAAATTTTCTTGAGCTCTGAAGTATCTATAAAAAGATTCTACAGGATAAGACTGCAGTGAAATTAAGCAAATTTTCTCAGCACTTGTACAGTTCTTTCCAGAGACAAATAGTACGATATTATTCCATGTCAAAAGTCTCTCCAAAAAACAAAGGCAGAAGAGCTTTTCACAGACCAGCTTTTCTTACAACGCAAAAGAAAACCACCCCAGCCTCAGCCAAAAAAAGCTTTGTTTTGATTAGGCAGGATTAAATGTTTGAGGATTTCCACACATTTCTGGGAGGGAGAGAAGGAGAAAACACAACAACAGAAACTCAACTCTTCCTCCTGAAAAAAAACCTCACCACACAATTAGCTAAGTTAGGCACAAAGAATCAAACAAATAATTTAAAATACAACAAAACCATAAGCAACTTTAAAAGTCTGCATTTAAATACAGTAGCACTTATTTAAATGGCTTGGATTTCTGAAGTTTTCCAGTTTTCACAGCAGTATCTAGAGCAGCTGAAGAGATGTTTCAATGCATGTGCTAGAGCTTCTGAAAGTTCTTTAAAAAATATAAGCACAGTTTCATACTTATTTACATTTCCAGTACACTGCATAGTGCAAAAGCATTTTCTATAAACCAGTTTGATCACAGTCTCCTTTCAGAATTCCACTGTGTCTCAACTGGATTTTCTGCCTCCTCTCTTTCCTCTCAGACTTTTGATTTCCCACTGTAAAACTGCAACAACAGAACCACTTCCAAGTATTTGTTCTGGTATTACATAAGAAACTCCTAAGTAACAATTTGACCATTTACAAGGTGATCTAAGTCAAGAGAGGTTATTTTAAAAGAGTGGTTCTGATTTAACAAAAAAAAAAAAAGGAAGAAAAAAGATAATAAAATCCCTCTTCAATTATGAAAACCACATGGTCTTTTTCAGGCAAGCCTTCCAAATATTTTGGAATATCTCCCCTTCATTCTTCCTCAGGTAAGGGATATTGAGACAATGTTCTGCAGGTTCTGCTCTTTACAGCTGTTAAGATTTTGGTTTTGTCTTCACTGCAGTGCACATCACAGTAAAACTCATCTTCCTGACGCACATCAGTTGAAGAAAACAAGTTTTTCGAGGAGATTGCTACTCCTTTTTTTCTTTAAATTCACTTCTCATTCCACTTGCCCTAGAGAAAATCAGTTATGACATATCTGGAGCCAGAGAGGTGTCCTGACAGTCTGTCTCTCTGAAAAAGGTCACTGATTCCTGGGGTAACAACTGCCTTCTACAGAAGATTTTGCCAAACCAATTTAGCATCCTTTTAGGTAAGCTTTAAGCTTTCTTCTTTAAACTATTTGATCGTGGTGTCAGAACAGAATGAATTAAAGGAGTGTTTGCCCAGAAGACAACAAAAGTTTTTTCAAAGTAAAGTGTCCACCAGTGAGAATGCCTAGCAAGAACATTTCAATGAATTGAAAGAAAGAATTCAACATGCAATAAAATTTGGCACCAGTAAGTAGCAACTGATGAGTATCATTAAGCACGGTCAGAGAAAATAAAGGCAAAAAGTGATGGAATTTTCAAAAGTTTCTATTATCTGGAACTTAATATAAAAGAAAGAACAAATGGTACTATCTCATGTTGTCATCTTTCATTAAAAGCCCAGAAGTCTATTTATTTTATTTCCTGTTAAAGAATACCTGGCCGATTACTGACAGTTATTTTACTTGTCCCAATATACAAAAACATTACTCAGTTCTCCTTCGTTTTAGGAAATCCCTCAGCATTAAGTCCAACTTCCTCTGAAACTAAAAGAAACAGAAATTTCTCTTTTCTTGCCTAAGGAAAAAAATACTCATTTTAATATTACAGGTTTGTCCCAGTCTAGTGAAGGAAAAAAAAAAACCACCCCGAAATCTTTTACAGTTACAGATTTGTTCTCAAATACCGGTAACTTTTGTATATAAATACCTGTTTCAGTACATTTCATTTTCTACAGGACACATACCAAAGTTTCAAATCTCAGTCTTTTCAAAGCTTGAGAACGTCAGACTGCTAACTTCCCTTGTCTCTTGTGAAACTGAATTAACATAGACTATTAAAAATAAAGCGGTTTGTAAAAAGGTCCAGAAAACTTAGAATGGTAAAATTGTTAACAGGAAAAAAAAAACCAAAACTATATTCTTTGTGACCCTCCAGACCAGCCAGAGGAGGTAATGGAATTTGTGCAATATAGTGACTTCCTTAGGCCGACACCTGAGCTGGGTCTAACCCACTTGGATCTGGTGCCAGCAGCTGTTCTTGCCCTGGCAGCACAAAACTGAACACAGCTGGGTTTGCCACTACAGCAGAGGAAGTGACTGCAGCTGAGAAACACAGCAAGCCTGCCTGTGGCCAGTTCCAAGCTTCTACAGACAGAAGACTATCAAAATCCAAGACATGCCCCACATGACCACAAATATGAACACATGCCTACTAGAACAACTTCAGTCATTAAAACAAGGTGTTCATTTTAATGGTAGTGAAGTAGCTCTTCAGTAAGTCAGTAATTAATTGCATGGGGTGCATGGGCAAGAGGAGGGGATGTCTATCTTGAAGCAGAGCCAGACTGCCACATTTGGCACGTTGCTACACTCACAATAACTCCTCCTCTCATTTGACCAAGTGCCCGTAGCAGCAGTTTGCAGAATGCACCCAGTGTACATGTCTGCTAGGCATTCTGTTCAGAAATAATATTCTAATATTTCAAGACAGAACTGTTAGTAGAGTCAGGAGTCCCCTCTCTTTCCCACTACCAAGAATACTCCTAGGATAATAACCTCTGCTACTTTCACTGGCTACAATATTTTAATACCTGAATGCCAAAGAAATCTTTAAACAATTAACAGAAGTATTGAAAAGCAGACCACATACACATGAAATCATGAGTTGCACGCATACCCTGTGCTTAAGAAAAAAAAAAGTAGATTGACAGAAAGTAGGCATTCCAAAAAAACCCCACAAAACCCAAGAAATCTCAAAACAGTTTTCAACTGGAGAACAAAAGTATATGCAAATATTGTAACATATGCAAAGGAGTTCTTGAACGTGCCTTTCTTCCACCTGTAAAAAGCCCTAGTACGCTGAAGTCTTTGAGGTGACAGAGCCTGGGTTCTGGATTTAGGGGAATACAGGAGCAGCTATGATCAGTGTCTCAAGCCCTGCACATCAAGTTGCATAGAAATACTGAGCAGCTAAAACTCTGGAGTGGAAGCTATAAACTGTATCAAATACATGTGAATATGCACATTTAGCATATTTGGAAAATGAAGGCGAGCTTGACATTTGCATGAATGACATAGCTGGGCTTCTACTTCATAACATCATAGAAGAGACATGACGACATCACAAAGTACAAGAGGTTTTAGTTGTGGATGGACTGAAAGTTGGAAGCTGCCTGCTTCCTCTTTTTCCCCCACATGGGGTAACTTCCATCCTGCCACCCAGTCAGCAATGCTTTCTGATTCTCAGCCAACACCTTCTGTCTGCCTTTGTATCACAAAAGTAAACCTCTCCTACTACCCACTACTGAGAGTAAATACTTTACTTCTTTGTCCCTTCAGCAGCTATTGTAGAAAACTGTGCATTTACCACAAATGCTTCCCTCTGTTTGCTTTTGCTGAACTGAGGAAAGTACTTTTCTTTCTGTTGATGCCACCACTGCATATAAACAGAGCGCTTCTGATACAGCCTTATCAGAGCCATCTGTGGTTGATCTGCATTTGCTAGGTCGACCTGAATTTCAATTGCATACTCTTCAGAGAGTGCTGGCATGAAGAAATCATTGCCACATCTTTTACCACCAAGAAGTTAAAAAAGAAGCTCTGAAAATACAGTTAGGAATTCAGAACTGCAAGTATACGTCACTGGGTGAAGTCATAATCGTGCTAAACTGTAAGGTGAAGTTGGGGATGTGCAATAACTGCATAAGTGGTTAAGAACAGATTCTTCCAGTGCCATAAGCAATCCTTTTGGATCCTAGTCACCTCAGATGAAATTGCACTTTGATTGCTATTTGGCTTGGGTCTTAATATATTAGAAGTGTAAAACTTTCACATATGTATTACCCATGCTAAACTTCAAAATTAGCAGATTCTTCTTGAAAACTCTTCAAAACCATTAATTTAAAATGGAAAACATATTTTCATTTTTGATTCAGGGAAAAAAATGAAGGGGAAAAAAATGAAGGGGCATGGGAGAATTAATTTTGTGAGATAGACCCAAATATTTTTAGTTTGAAGCGGTAGTTCAAACAAGTGCTTTTCCTTAGGGAGCTAGGGAATTAAGCATCCAAACTGTTGCACAATTGATGCCTGTTAAAGATTTAAACGGAACAATGCAGAAATGTAACAGACCTGCCCAAGTCAATTTTTGTCTTTAAAATGTGGCATTTCCTGAAAAAAGCATTTGGCAACATCAGATCTTACCGTTAAAATTTTATATGACCCCACCACAATAGCTGGCAAGCAAATCCCTTCAAGAACTTTGGTGGGGCTAAACTAGGCTAACAAAGCAAAAGAGAAGGAATAGGACAACCCATTGAAAGAGAAAATAGGTTAACAGTTCTTTAAGCTAAACAACTGACACTTCAGCAAGCTAGAGTGTCTTCTACCCAACAGCATACATGGTAATGGGCTGTCTCCTGTAATAATTTAACATGTTAAAGTTGATTGACAATACACTCACACTTTAGTTGACAAACAAAGCTTGAAACACACTAAGCAAATCATTGTTGGTAGTCAAACCACACTAACAAATGCATATTAGCAACAAGCGCCTCTGATATCTGCCCTTTCAGGGATGTAGGCTTAATTAAAAATTAAGTCTCTATGATTCAGACTCTTCTTATGTTGCAATTTCCTTCTTTGCTCCCAGTAGCCCAGGTGTAAGTACTTTCTTTTGCTGCCTTTGTGATTTTTACTCTCCACTTTTGCTAATGCACTTAAAGCAAATATAGAGCCACTACATAAGGTCTACCATGTGCTGTCATTTTGCCCAAATTTACCTGAGCACCAAGACAAAGAACTGTTTTTCCGTGGTACAACTACTCCATCTCTTTTTTCCTCAAACATGGCAGACTTTTCCCTGCCACTGTCCCAACTTCCCTTCTTGCCTCACAAAACCATCAGCTGTAAAAAGATCACTTTCGTAGTGCTAAATTACATGCAACCAGCATCTAAAAATAAGGTGCGACCCAGGAATGATTCCAAGGGAATCTGTTGTCATCTATCCATTCCTGAAGACATTAAATCAGTTATATCAAAGGTCTCATTTTAGGAGAGGGGACACACGAACTAACATACCTTTAGCATGTAGTAGAAAGGGAACCAGGACAGAAAGATATCAGAGAAGAACTCCACTATGCTGAAAATGCCATACACAACCCAGTAAGTCAGCCACTGAGTGTCATCATCTTTGTTGGGACTTTCAATGGCCTTGATTCTGTAAGTAAAACAAAACAAGTGAGCAGATCAGTAGCATCAGTCTCATCTATAATGGCAAAGTTTTTATGACTTGGATTTATTGCTACGTGTGGATCCTCATACTTTAATTACTCTGTATGCTCTAGAGAAGAGAACCAAGTAGTACCTATCATACAGACAATGTGCCCGAGATCTCTGAACAGCAGAGCTTTTCCCTACACGTCAGACTTCAAAAAGAAAAGATAACGCAAGTTATTTCTAGCTCTGTGATTACAAAAAACTCAAACAAAAAACGTGAGCATCCTGACCTTGTTGATGATACAGTTCATGGGACAGGGAAGAGAGGGGATAATCTCTGGCCAGTTTCAGTTCTGGATGCATTGTGGTAATCCTGACCAGAAGACTACTGTACATTGAAGCATTAGTGATCCATGTAACAGTGAACCCGAGTGAGCCCAGGCCTGTTGCTGCACATACAGCCTGGCTTTCAGGCCTGTGCTGTGCTGCATGAACTTCCTGGTCACAGGGTAAACGCAGCCAGCTCGCTGAAACAGAGGACACCACAGGCAGCTCCCATGGGGTAGCAGTGGTTACATCACTGGCATGGCCTTGCCTGTATCTAACAGCAAACATCTTCCCTCTCTGACAGCAGGAAAAAAAAAAAAGGAATGATAAATAGAGTCCTCAAAGAAAAATCCTACAGTATCTTAAATTATCAAAACCTTGTCTACAGATGCGGTCTGCACAGCATGCTATGTGTGGATCGGAGGCCCATTCAGTGCTGCACAATTTGGTATTCCCAGCATCTGCAGGGATATAAAATTGTCAATACTGTTCTCTGTTTCTTTATAGTGCTAGCTCTAATAAATAGCATTTTCAATGAAGCTTTACAGAATGTGAATGCCTTTCCTACTGGGATCATAACAGATCAGCACCTCCTGGTGCAAGCAGCATCTACATAAAAAATTTAAATCCAATTCCAGATTTTGAAGTGAATCTCAAATATCTTTACTCATAATGTACATGCACAAGTTTCCTCTTTGAAAAGGTAAACCATAAGATTTGCTCTACTAACAAGCACTTGGTCTGTAGAAGCAGAGGAGATCCAGTACCCCCCACCCTGTACAGTGAGGACTATGCATCTGCATCACCAATTGTTTTGCTCGATAAATCCATTCCTACAGGACCTGCAAATTCTGATGTAGACTTCGGTATTAAGAACAGAGTAGAGCAACCTCTAGTAAAGCCTTGGGCTTCCTGCATAATGGTTAACTGTGGTTTTGTTCTCCAACTGCTAGGAGAATGCAGTCCAAGTCTATATAGTTCCAAAAATAGGAAGCTGAAAGAAAGACACATATGTGCTTTCTTTAGTAAAAGTAGTGAAGTGGAGATTCTGGACTCACCGAGTTCCAGATTAGCACTGTAAGAAGTTTTAGAAGGAAACGCTAGCAACTGTAAGCCTGATAATGTCAAGTTTAAGAGTATTAAAAAGCATTTGCCCTCTCTACTCATGCCATAGGACTATTATCTGTAGACTCAGTTTAATGAATTTCATTTTAATTCTTTTATAAATTATTCATTCAACATCAGCTATATTGTTGCTGAAGGACCATCTGTGAGACATATCAGAGGTGTAAAGTTTTCTTTTAGTCCCTAAAAAAGATTGAGAGTTTGGGAGATTTATGTAATAGAAACCAGACAGATGGCTGGCTGTGAGTACATTTCCTGGTTTGTCAATTGAGAAACCCTTTGGACTCTGTCACTTCCTAGTTCCGTAAATTGAACAAAAACAAACAAACAAATTTAAAAAAAATCAATCCTGTGACATGCCTTAAGTTTTAGCAAAAGCACCAGCAAACCCACCACACGCGGAGAGAACTGGCGTAGCTACTGGATTGAATTACTTTGAAATGCAATACGAGGACCTGATACTTGATTTATGCATTGTTTCCATTAAAGTTTGTGGCTGGCCAGCAGGGTCCTGCAATGGGAAGAGCAACAGCCCCTGCCATACCCCATCATGCAGAAGGCGCTGTTACTGAGGTGCTGCATCAGCACAACTGGAGGAACAGGTTTTCCACAGGTGGACAGGCGCAGGTCTGCTTACTGCTGTCACTAACAACACGGCGTTAGGGAACGGCAGTCCTGGCAGTCTGCTCAAAGGCAGTGCCAACTTCAGCTGCTCCTGCCCTCCCACTATAAACCACACTTTTAATACGTCCCCACCTCTCCGGTATTCTTCTAATACCGCTGGGTGAGAGGGCCCTACAAAAAAAAACAACAAACCCAAACACCACGGGAGGTAAGGGAGAGGGCTACCGATCTGTTTCCAAGGTGTAAAACTGCAAGGAAAGAAAAAGTGCAAGTGGCTAGTAGGGAAGTTACAGTTCTGAATAAATGGAGGAGAGAAAGGAACCAAGTGCAAAGCTCCTCAGTATCAAGGAAAACTTGCTGTAAGGGTTCATCGCATGAATTTCTCTGGTTCTGATGACAACTTCTTCATTAGAGGCACACAGGGGAAGGCTGATTTTACCACAATAAGCATACTAGCTTGGTATATGCGAGAACACTTGTGGTGAAACCACTAACAGTCTTGCTGTTTTCCAGTCATCGTCTGAAGCCATCCGTGGATTTAAGGAAGCACTGTTTAATTTTTTTTTTAACATTATTAAAGTCATCTTAGTAATCATGAAAACCAGTCTTCATGAAAAAGCTTGGAATCTCCAATGTTGTGGCAAAGGGCAGATGGCACAACACTGTGTTAATGAGGCATGCTCTATTATCTTCTCTCCTGTAAAAATGGATGGCCTTTGAGAGTTCCTAAATGCAGTGCCATGGATGTGCTCCCTTTGAACATTCACCATCTGCTGCTATAGCTCCTTAAGGTGATGTCTCAAAAAGGAATACGTAAACAAGACACTTTCACGGTCAGTCACCTGCAGCAGTACTGTAAGTAGTCAAAACCCCATCTGATTTAACCAGCTGATACGCAGCATTAAATCTATGTGTGGTGTTTTCTTGCAGGCTGTAGGAAACAGCACATTTCCCCTCCGATGATGGTCTGATCTAGGTAGGCACCATGGGACGAGCTCAGGTTGTAGAACCCTACCGCACCCACTAAGAAACAGCCACACCCACGTTGAAGGAATGGCACAAACTGCATCTGTTCCCAAGGACTCCAGCCCCCATCCCGCTTAGTGGTGGGGAAGGAAGGAAAAAGCAGGAGATAGCAGGGCCGTCAGTGAATGACAGTCTTAACTGAAGTCAAGGAAAGGCATGTATTCTATAAATATTCTGCTTCTGAATGGGAAATATGGCTGAGACTGCCAGTGGAAATCCATGGTCTAACATGTCCCTGTTTAATAAAAGGACAAAAGTTATCTCCATCCTTTGCTACTTATACACTATTTCAGTAGTAAGTCACAGAAAATACTCCTTACCCAAGAACAAGTACAGTAAATTATGTAGATTATCTAAACAGGTGAGTTTTTTGTCCATTTATCACTATACAGTTTTTCCATGTGTGCATCCCACCCAAATCAGACTTATTCTTACAAGTTATTCTGTAACAACTCCGCACAATTAACCTTAGGAGATACATCATATGTGTTACTTCAAGTCAAAAACATTTTATTCTTCCCCATGTTAAGTCATGAATCAATCAGTGTGACACTCAGAATGCAATCTCCATCAGTAAGTGAAAGATACAGGTCAAGAGTAGTAAAGCCAACTTAAGGACAGCCTTCTACTACCAGTTATTTATACATTGCAAGAGCAAGTCAGTCAGTCTCACTGGCACATAACAGTAAGATTTCCTAACAAAAGAAGGAGCATCCAAAGCCTGTAATAAAAAAAATACTGTCAGGTTTTTCTAAGTTTTTTCTAATACTATATGACCAAATTCCATGTTAGCTATCTGTAGTAATTACAGATCACAAAGGATTTTATATGGTGCTTACACACTAACTGTAGAGGACTTCAAATAAAGCCTCAAACAACTATTTACAGTAGTTCTGCAGAGTCACTAGGAATAGCTTCCAGTAGACTGGATGGTAAACACCACAGCTCAGTTCTTTCAAAAACAGATACCTGTCCAGCAGTGAAAATGGCTTGCCATTGGGCCAGCACTGCAAATTGTGCAGTGTCCTGGTTTCGCCTGGGATAGGTAATTTTCTTCATAGTAGCTAGCATAGTGCTGCATTTTGGATTTAGTGCCAGAATAATGTTGATAACACACTGATGTTTTTAGTTGTTGCCAAGTAGTGCTCAGACTACTCAAGGACTTTTTGAGCTTCTCCTGCTCGGCCAGGTGCATAACAAGCTGGGAGGGAGCACAGCCAGGACAGCTAACCCAAACTGACCACCATTCTCATTATTACTATTATTATTCTTTTTTCTCTTATTAAACTGTCTATCTCAGCCCACAGCTCTTACCTTTTTTTTTAGTTTCCTGATTCTCTCCCCCATCCCACTGAGGGAGGGGGGAGTAAGCGAGCAGCTGCGTGGTGCTTAGTTGCCAGCCGAGTTAAACCATGACAGCAGACAGATGGGGATCCAGTAAAAACTTCATTTTTAGCCAGATTTGTTCCTTGATAACCTGCTAGCTGGTGATGCCAACAGGGAAGTGCGGAGGTTGCCCTAGTCTCCAGCAGCCCAGAGCTCATACCAGCTACGCAGCTACAGCATCAGAGTACCAGCTCAATTTTGACTGTGTGCATCCTAGAATCAGTCAAATTGAACTCTAAATCAAGTGTGGTTACTTTATCCTGTTACCTGATAGTAACAGACATGGATCACTAATTTTAGTAAGCTGTCAAGCTGAGTTCTTTCACTTAAAGCATCTGACTCATTTAAACAAAAAATCAGCTTTTTTTCCAAGGAGAGACTTTTACACACCCCTGAATTAGCTCTGGCATAACAAACCATTGTTAGTTAATTCACACAGACGGTACTTGCAGAATAAGCATATTTTAAGTACAGCAGTTATGGTTTGTTTTTTTTTTTCTTTGCTGAGTCCAG